TGAGTCAACATAAGAGTCGTTGAGAGACACATGTTTCCTTTTCCGTTTGGGTTTCACCGAGTGACAAATTTTCATTTCCAGCAATGGTAAGGGCTTATTTCTTGCTGTTGGCTTTGGTGGACAGTATGTTGGAAGTAAAGTCATTGAAATTATTTCACCTGACAAAAACTCTTCAAGTTCAAACATACAAGTACCCAAGTGCTTGTATCCCTGATCTGAACCACCTTTACATTCACAAAATGCAAAAATCACAGAGCCGTTTGGTGAAAGTATGAACCAGGATCTGTAATCTTTCATGCCTTCTGGTGTTTTGTCCCTTTGTGAGGGTAAAACACTGCCAATGACAATGTGAAACTTGCTATCATCATTGTCATAGACAATAGTTCCACATAAATTCATTACATGACCATTTATAATCATCAAGTGTTCTCCAGGATACCAACATTTCTTTGTCATATTCTGCTTTACTAACTATTAAATGATTGAAAATATCCAACAGTCCAAATGTTGGTAAAGCTGACATGTCATTTGATGTATGGGTCCCTTTAAGTGGATCTTCTATGCGCTTTACAGCAGGAAGTGTCATTTGTTATTGAAGATAATGCTCCAAGGAAACCTTTGAAAAATCACAATCAATTACTAGTTTTGCCTCCTCAGTGGCTTCTGCTAACTTTGTGAGATCGGATTTTAAATAGTTTGTAGTTGGTACACCACGGTCACTGATATACTTTTTCAAATCTTTAACTTTCCAGTCTTTGAAATTATTTCTCTGGTGAAATTGCTCATCCCTGACAACTGTACTAGTGTCAGCATTCTTCGCAATGTTTTCATTTTCAAGCTTTTCTTGTTTGGTTTTACAAAATATTGTGTTTTTTTTAGATAGACAAGATGTGTTTTTGGGTTTGGATTTGCGGGATATTGTTTTAGGTTTTGATGGACAAGGTACAGTTCTAGTTTTGAGTGGAGATGATTGGTCATTAGAAAGAGATGGTTCTTCCTTAAGTTCAAGATCAACCAACACAGGTGGTTGGTATTCATTGGCAGGTATTGGGGCTAGACAACAACTATTGATAGGTTGCGAAAGATTGAAATGGCAAGCAGCTCTGTGAAAGTTACGCAAGACCAAAGTGATTGGACAATCACAGATTCGATCATATTTTAACAATGGACATAAAACCAGGCGAGGAGTGAAATAAAACCATTTCTGCTCAAGCATAGCATAAACACAAATTTCATGCTGCAAGGCGGTGGCACAAGCGTACATATCCACTGTTTCTCTCCACGTACCGGACATAATATTTCGCTTCAGATGCTTTTCCATCGATTCGTATCGAAATAAATACGGTCGAAAAGTAGCCGGATTTTGTATCAAAATATCGTTACACATTTCTCGAATGTGAGCAAAGTTTTCGTCGCTTTAACTGTTTATAGCCAACGCAACTGCTCGATATAAGCAATTGCCGTCTCCACATACTTTTACTTCTTTTCTCCCAACTGGTAACGAATACCCATTAGAACGAATAGTCATTATAATGGAATAGCCATTATAAGGTGCTTTAAATTGAGAATTCTCAGAAATATCACTTTTGACCCTTTGCAGTGACGTCACGCACGCTTTAGCAACTGTTGCTGGGGGAGCACCTGGAGGACAAGCACATGTGCACGCTTTATATGTTAATATGGCTAGTAACATAAAGTCAGCGCTTTCTAGGTCGAAAAAACTTTTTTTGCCTCGATATGTAGAAAATATTCAGTGTAAGGATACTAAAGCGCGTTACAAAATGAAATTAGGACATTGCAATTGAGATGATCCGTACGAAATACCAACAAATTAATGGCTTGACGATATCGATCTGTGGCCTGCTGTAAGCTACATTCATGTTGGCATGTATTTATTATTTTCGGTTAGTCCGTACACGAAAGAGCATTTAAAAAACTATCAGTGTCTTAATAGTTATCAAAATTTTGTGAATGGATGGGTGCGTGAAGTGTTGGTGAAAAAATATGACGATCATTGCTAGCTTATTGCTAAGGTAAATGCTTCGCAGTTGTCACTAAAAACATTGCACATTGGCTGCACTCGCGCTCTAATGATACTGAACGCCTTGTTTCTTTTTTCACTACACCAGGTTAATCACTCTCAAAGAATGTCGGAGAAGCCACTTACTCCTTGGGTTGTTTGCGAAAAGAACAGCAAAGTATTAGCAGCGCACTGCGATTGTATTGCAGGAACAGGTGAAAGCTGCTCTCAGGTCGCTTCAATTCTGTGGGCTGTTGAAGCTGGTGCACGAAAACGAGATTTTCTAACTGTGACTGATAAGAAGGCATACTGGGCCTTCATCAGAATGAGGAAATTAACTATTTACAGTTGCTCTCAGCTTGTAGACATTTAGAGCGTCTAATTGGATTAGCAGGTGGATTAATGTGTTTGGATGGGGTGAAATGCGTTGCCATGGGTTTTGGTGTATTGTGAATATGATCGGTGTTAATATTATGTAATGTTGTAGTTTTTAGTGTAATGTTGTAGTTTTTAGTGTAATGTTGTAGTTTTTAGTGTAATGTTGTAGTTTTGGTGTTGTTTGTAGTTTTTTGTCCTTTTTCTTTAGTTGTGAGTATATGATGGGTATGTCGATATGTCTGTTTATTGTGTCGTTGTCTTTACTGTACCAAGCTTCTTTAAATTCGCGTGCGTGTTTAGTCTGTGCGTCCGAGTACTTTAGTTTCTGTCCATTCGAATGTGTGGTTGTTTCCGTAGGTATGTTCTGCCGGTAGTGAGTTCGGATCTTGTCGTTTTATGGCGTTTTTCTGTTATGTGAGTCTTGTTTCGATTTTCTTTGATGTTTGTCCTTTGTAAACCTCACACCATCAGAAATGCCACCACTTTCCTCGCCAGTATTGAAAACATTAAACTACGACCAGACGAAATCATGATATTCAACGACGTGACATCACTCTTCACATCCATACCACTACAAATAGCCAAACAAATTATAAAGGAACTACTCACAAACGACAAAACTTGGCAAGCTACAACACAACTAGACAAAAATGACATTCTAGACTTACTCAACCTTTGCCTCTCCACTGAATTCTCCTTCCAAAACACATACTACAGACAAATTTCAGGAACACCAATGGGGTCACCACTATCCACCTTCCTTGCAGAAGCCATCATGCAACACCTCGAAACACAATCAGTCACAAAAAACACAGACATCAAACTATGGAGAAGATATGTCGACGACATCTTTGCTCAAATCTTACACACCATAAACAATACCACAAAGAACATAACTATCACTAAAGACAAAGAGCATAATAAACAACTTACTTTCCAGTTAAAGTTACAAAAACATCGAGCAACCCCTTTTGAAGACTTGGCATTTCAGATTCATCATGAACAAGCTGAGTCTAAGAGGGGGGTAATTAGTTCCTGTTGATTCGTAAATGTAGAAAGCATGTACAGTAAAACTATTCTTCTCAGCAATAAATAAAACAATCTAACGAAGAACTAACGCTTATTAGTTCTTCGTTAGATTGTTTTATTTATTGCAACGTGAAATTTGGCGCGCTTTAACTTCACAATGTACGTTTTTAGCTACAGATTATTTTTGCGCATGGAAACGTCACTTTGCAACGCACACCTCATACGTCACAAAAGTTTCCCTTGAACGCCCATCCTCAATCGTCTTAATCTTTACAAAGGAAACTGCACGTACGACGGATATACTTTTCATAAGTGCACGTAATTTCTCAATTACTTATAGTTTTAATTACTACATTCCAATGATCACGTGTTTATCACATGATGCAAAGGAACTCATTTACTGAAGACTAAATTATGTAATATTTTTTTATGTAAAAAATGATCCCTAATCTTTATGATTACATAAAAATGTTTTTCAAACCTGTGTCGTTTGAGAAGTTGAACGAATAGCAAAAGTTTCAAGATAAATTACCGATATAAATTTTCGGATCACAAAGTGTGATCAAATAATGGAATTTAAGGAGTGATTTATTGAAAGTATGATAGATATTTAAAGAGTTTCTCTATGATGTAAAGCATTAAGCCGTATATGAAATCAACATCTGGCTCTTATAACTTAGTGTGAGGAGCAAGTCTCTCTTTTGTCCGCTTTCTTATGTATATTGTTGGATTGAAAAATTAACAAATTCCGAGTACACTAATTTGTGTTGACCTAGGTATTCCAGTTGTTCTATTATTGTTTGCAGTTCTTTATTATAATGCAACTACAAACACATGCTGTAAAATAATATAGGTGTATATCTTAAGTCTGGTGCACAGATTTCGTCTTTGTGAAGCTGTACTCTTAACTGTTGACCCACAAGCTTTTTCTTCAAGCGTGCGAGGGTGTTTCGGAATATTAAAGACACTCATGCATGCTTTTTGAGCCAGTTATGAGTAAATTTCACAGATTTTGTTGTTCGTGTGAACATTTCCGCTGTATAAGTGCATCAAAAAACATTGCCATATCCTGCAACAATATTGCATGTCCTTTGTGTGCGTGTCAGAGAATTGTGATTCTTTGATTTGGTTGCCGTAATAATATTAAAAGGGTGACGTTGTCGATATTTGAAAAATTTATCTCCGTACATATGACGTAAGATGTCGCGAATTTGAGTAACCTTTCAACTATAATTTCAATATAACAATATTGCATCTAAAGTAGCTAGGAAATTCGTTGACAAAAAAATGTTGCTCCCTAATTTCAATGTTTATTTATAGACATTCTATATTTCAAATGCGCATTTTCATTAACTGTATGATTTACCATCAGTAAAATTATTCGTCTTTATATATACCCTGTTTTTGACAAAAAAATAAAAGGTACATTGTAACATCATTCAAGAACTGGCTCATGCTAATTGACACAAGTGCCTGAAAGTAGTAAAATCCTATTACACATTCGAGGAAAAACTTTGCACCCACAGTAACGAGTGAAACTTTTCCATAAGATCTTTACAGCAGAAGATTAACAATGCTTTTGAGGTAAACGAAAAAAAATCATGACAATCATGTTTCTACCTAAGTTTCCTTACGTCTCGCACGAGATGCATGTTGCTTACCAGGAATTTAAGCAGAACTGGCACTGAACGAAATAACTATGTTTTATACTAATGTTTCTTTACAAATGTAGGTTAACAGCACAATAAGATTTTCATTCATTAAATTTCAGTATTTTGCAGGTGCAGTGAGCGACAAGATGAAGAAAAAGACATAGGTATATGTTCCTTTGTCTTTTTTCCTGTTCTAACTTGATTTTTAGGCTTTTCTCAGGTGCGGAGAATCAAAAGATTGCCGTGGTAGAAGAAGCTATGGCTGTAAGTTTGTTTCTTTCTATCATTCATTAAATTATTGCCGTAGTAGAAGAAGCTATGGCTGTAAGTTTGTTTCTTTCTATCATTCATTAAATTATTTTCGGAATAAATATTGACATCTAAAGAAGTGTGACTTCATTTCTCCGGTGTTTGCAGATGATCAATAAAAGATTTTGCTCAGTATGAAAAGTGTGAATATCATAAGCAAAATTGCATGTAAACTCACGCACACAAAGTATTTCAAACATTCCTACTAACTTAGAGAGTTCCCTCGCTCTCTAATTTAGCAAAGAATTTCTGCAATAAAGCTTGATTACTCCAGGCAAAAAGCATATACTAAATGGTCACTTTGCTTTATGAAAATAAGCTTAAAATCACCCAACAATTCTCAAAAATTGTTTTTTTTATGTCATTCAATAATGCATAACAGATCCTATTTCTAAGGCATGTTGTCTCATGTATGTTCATAGTGTATATAGTTTTTAACTTATAACATGGTAAAGTCTTATTTTAGATGTATGCTATTTGGCTGTTATGTAGCTCTGTTATAAAGCATCTTATCTACCAATTTTTAACATCTTATAGGCCTTTTGAAACACAGTCAGTCATCAGCAAAAGCTTATTTATCAGACATCACATTACCTGAAGAAAGATCAGGTGTATTTGGTTGGTTCAATGCATTTGGAAGTTTTGGTTTCATAATCTCACCCATAATTGGTGGTACTGTTGCTATGCACGACAATGGATACTTCAAGGTATCACTTTTGAGCTGTAGCGTGTATTTGTTTGCTATAATATTTGTATGGTTTGTCTTTGATGAAAATAAAATAAAGCTGGAAAACTCCTACATGGATAAAAAAGTTGTGGAAGTGTTGGAGGGTGATGAGAAGGTTAATATGAATCATAACAGACGTAAAAAGTTTGAAATGGAAAGTGACTTGGTTAATGACAAACAGAATGACAAAGAGAAATCATTTTTCTCCAGAATTGTCAATGTTGTTGCTGTTTCATCAATTGTGAGCGTTTTTGACTTGTTGCTGATACGCATCATTATGGCTCTAGGTATGTTAATATATCGTAGTAATTTTACTGCTATGTTGGATTATCGTTATGGTGTAAATGCTAAAACAACAGGCTACATTATATCCTATGGTAGTATTGCTGGAGCAATATCTGGTATGTCAGTGGGCTCTATATATAGTTACATACAAAGTGATGTAAAGATGATGTCAATTGGTGGTATTTTAATGATGTCATCTTTATTTGGGATAGCGATGTCACCAAGTATTTATACAGTACTCATATGTATGATACCATTGGCTCTCTCCAGTGCCATAATGAGAGTTAATTCGTACAATCTAATGTTAAAGCGTGTCAAACCAAAGGAAAAAGGTGCCGTCATGGGTATCGCGGACTCACTGACATCCATTGCAAGAATGTTATCACCAGCTATTGCAGGTTTTGCTGAAGAAGTTAGTGCTATTGGACCATGTTGGATTGCTACACTTTGTGGCTTCATTGGTGTTGTAATTATGTTGAATTTAAAACAGGATGATGATAGACGTGAGAAAATTGAATAATTATAAAATAATGCTGTAGTTAATTTTTCATTTCTAATTTTAAATTTAAACATGGGCATTGTTATCACATTCCAAAGAATAAGATCTCACCACTGAATGCGCTGTACGTTTAATTAATTTATCAAACACTTCATCCACCCACGACTGTAACATAGCTCTATTGTCTAGAAATAACTCATCAAAATTATTTCGCAAAGTTATTTCTTAAATTCTCTTGATGTTGTACAGTTTTCTAATATCTTCATGAATTAGACGTTAATAAATTGAGCTAGTTTCAAAATGAACCAATAATAAGACTCCTAATTTAGCTTTTTCTTGTTTAAAATATTCCAATGTATTTCTTCAGTATAAACATTTAGAAACCGTAAATTTAACTTTGTGTGTGAGAGAGGGGGGCAGTTACTAGCCCGCTGCAACCTTGCCTTAGTTGCTTACCTTGTTAATGTATGTACTGAACAAATAGGACCGCAAGAACGTCGCGCAAAGTGTATTTAATTGATGAAAAAATCTGTAATAGTGGATGGACAGCCTATGGATTTTCCATACCTTATTAAACTACGGAACTTGAACATTGTTATTTTCAAATAATTTCGTTTCAATTTTATCGATTGTCCGTTAAAATCTTTTCCTTTTTTTTTGTAATTTCCCATTTTACTGTCAACTGATTGCAGATTTTTTTTAGTAATTGCAATATTAACATGGTCAGGTCCAAATGCTTTTGTTCCAATTTCCATCGCCACTCATAAAAATCTTTTGCTTTTTCGTACTCTCCCATATCTCTGTAAACCGAACCCAGATTGTTGTACGCTGTCGCAATATTAACATCGTCAGGTCCAAATGCTTTCGTTTCAATGTCTATCGCTCGTTCGTAAAAATCTTTTGCTTTTTCGTACTCTCTCATATTTTTGTAAACTGAACCCGGATTATTGTACTGGGATGCTGTTCTCTATCAAATTGTTATTAGCTGTCTAACGTAGTCAGAATAAATTTGAGAGCTTCAAACTATGTAATATGCAAGTCTCCAAATCAGAGTTTTCATCAACAAGCGTGTGATTATTTAAACAAAAATCAAGTTTATAGTCTTTTCGATGGTCTTTTCTGGCCGCCATTACTGTGACCCCGCGCTTACTATTCCTTTTCATTATATATAAAGTTCAGATGAAAATTAAGATCGATGGAAGCATAAATATTTTAGTGTTCTAATACATCAAAGATAATCAGTTTTATGGAGCAATTGAAATTTCTCAACCAATAGTGTGCTCATATTCCATAAAGGATGTTCTAAGGTATCTATGAAAACAGTGAAAACATAAAAAGAAAGTAAATAAAAGCTACTCAAGTTTTTGCATGAATTGCCCAGTGGGATTTCTCAAGCTCCATAAATGTTTTTCTGAATTCAAGAACTTTCAGTTCTTTTCATGTTTCCTACATAACTTAAAACTTCCCACAAATCACCGATTTTACAAAAGGGGAGGGTAGCTGCCTCACGCCAGTTAACCATGATTTCTGCCACTGTATACAATGAACGAGAAAAGATATAATATAATCTCTTAATGCTTGGCATTCATAGACGCGATAAAAGTTGCCAGAGAATTTAATTAGCATGATTACGAATGATAGCTTTTTGGGAAAATTATGGACAAGCATGTTTTTCAATAAATTTGAGACATTTTGTTCAGAAATTATTTTAGAATTGAGAAATTATTTCATGTCTATTATTAGCTCAGAAAACAGACAGTAGATTAAAATTATAAATTGTATTTTCTAGTTTTATTAGAACGTGTAAAATATATCGTACAGAAACTGCCAAAAGGGAAAAAAGTGTTTTGACATTGGGTTAGAGACACACACAAAAAACAGTATTTACACTATATAAATAGTGAATCACTTAAAACATATAATTTATGAATGCTGTAGTCTTATTTCATTTTGTTCATTTATCTTTCGAGTTAACAACCACATAACTGTAGGACCAATGGGTTTGTCAGACGACATGCGAGGAGTAAGGAAGTAAAACATTTACGATTTATGGTTAATGAGTTCACGGGTCTTGATTTGTGTTCACAGCAACAGTATTAAGTTGGTTCATTGTGGGTTTACAAACACTTCACTATTTGTGAGTAAATGTCAAATTTGTTATTTATCCATAACATATATTTCGATTCCAAATTTTTATGTAATTTAACTAATACCTCATTTTTTGTAAGAATCATACCTCGGTTGCGTAAGAATTCGTGGAACAGTGTGTCAGCAATTTAAATTTTAAAATCATTTTGGAGCTCATAGATACAAGCAACATAATAGTAAAGTAAAGTTTCTGTATATATGAATATAGCCTTTGGAATCACATCGTCTCTTTTAGTTGCTTTCATCAAACCTCCTTTGGGTTGAGAAACGCTTGTTTTTCACAAAAACCAATCTATAGTTGTTAACATTTTGTCATATTTTACAGATAGAATTGTGTTTACACTGCATATTTAAAAAAATTGAATTTTATTTAAATAATCATGTACCAAAGCTAATCGTAAAATTGTATTTTATGGGTGAAATTTATCACAAAAAATCTTCAATCTTCCCAGTGTTGTAGAGTATGTTATCCATTGTATGTTTTATATTGTAAATTGTAACTGATAGTTTCTCACTTATTGTAACATTTGTATTTTGTAAAACCTGAACCAATCATTTTTTTATCTGACATGTTGGTGTTTCAATGAACTATAAATTTTGACGTTCTGTAAGCCTTTCAAAAAATATTCAGTCATCGGCAAAGGTTATTTATCAGACATCACATTATCTATCAAAGACAGTATTGTGTCTATTAGCTTTAAAAACAGTTCTTTTAGAATTGTTGGGTTAGTGCTGTGGTTTTAAACAGTTCTTTTAAGAGCTTTTGCGTTATTATTTTAAACATTCGCCATGGTATTTGCTGTTCTCAAAAAATATTTTACATTTGTCACCAAGATAAAGGCTCTGTTTTACTAATGATAGGTTTATAATATGAATCAGAGGCTTAGAAATAAACATCGAGCCATCCTTAAGTAATCGTGAGGGTATTCCATCGAGACCTGTACCTTTTGTTGAACTTCAAATTTTTATTAAGTGTTTAAAAACTGTGGGGACTGAGACGTGATGAAAAGTAAATTCACAACCAAAATCAAATTTATCTGGAATAGGTTGACTCCAGGTGCAATCTTTTATCTTAAAGTATTTTAATTTTGAAAAACTTGCAATTGTTGAAAAATATCAGCAAAATCACTAACAATCAGGTGTTTATGGCTTGTCGTTTTTCCTTTATTTGAAATGATGTACAGGTACTTGTATAGGGGTTCTTTGACCGCACTTCTTTTCCTTTCAACCATCAACTGAAATCTGCTGAAAACACCTACTTTAAAAACCTACTTGATGAGAATGCGTCATCTCAAGAGAATTTCTGTAAGGGCATCAAACAATTGTTTCCATCAAAAAACCCCGATCCAAGTATTTGTACATTGTTTCAAATAAACGTAAAATAACAGGAAGAGGGCATAGGTAGCAAAGTCCTTTTGACACAAGTGTGTCTTGTTAAAATTTTGCACGCAATACTATAACTGAGACAAAAGAAACATCAACACAAAATGTGCTCTGTTAATGTGACGCTGTTGTGATAGCAAGATAAACATCGTACTAGATACAGTAATTATTAATCATTAATAGCATTCTACGCTTTTTACTGACACATAAATTAGAAATTTTAATGAAATATATACGTTTGCGGTTTAATAAAAAACAGGGAAGGAATTCTTCCTATTTTTTTGCAAAATTGAAGTTTTTTTTTGCCAGTGTTGCATAGGAAAAGAAAGCTCACGAAATGTGTCTTACTTTACTACTATATAACAGCATTTTATGTTTGTTTTCAAAATATTACAAACGTTACAAGAAACTAAAATGAAGCAAGCCCGTTTTTATTCATGCAATTAAAATATTTATATAGCTTTTTAAAAAACTTGCATTGTGTAGTTTCTAGTAAAAATTCGAAAGTCGAACTCTGTTACTCTGTATCGTTTTGTTACTCTCTATCGCTTCAACATAGCCTCGTAATGCGCCCAAATTCATCCAAAAAACAGTATTTGCTTTTTTGTTTTTATTCTTTACCAGTATGAACCAGTACTCAATGATTTGCTTTAGATTTCAATCACTCAGGAGATATCTATTACTGCTTTTAATATGAAGTGCAGTCTACCATGCAACATGCTATAGATAGCTTTATAATTGAATGAAATATAATTAAAAATAAGAAGATTTTTTAGCTACAATCAAACATCATTCGCACATTCATGGAAACAGCCACAGTTCTCTTCACCAAATAACTTTTCTAAAGCTGTATCTAGTTTGAAACATAAGAAGTACTCATACTCAGGGTAGCATATCTCATCATAAAAATACGCACCAACACCATAACAAAAAGGAATTCTTCTACCATCTTCATCATGGAAATATAACAGCACACCTGACTCACCCCTTTCTAGGAAAGTTTCATCGCACTGCACCAAAACAGCATCATCAATATCAATCCCGATTTCAGGATCATAACAGGAATAAGAATCATCAACAATTTCTCCTTTCACACGCCTATTGCCATATTTTTTCACTTCAACTAGCTCACGTGCTATGTTAACTCGTTCGTGCAGCTCCTCCCATACACCATTCCAAGTTGGGTTTTGTATTCCTCTTCGTCTACAATCCATTGCTTCGAGAACATTTTCATTGACTTTTATTGACAAAATGTCCGTATTCTTTTCTAAATTATAGCTGTTGAAATGCCCTAATGGACTTGGAGGTGATGTGTAGTTGTATTGATTTGAATTTAAATGTAATTCAAATTGATTTGGGTCATTTCTGTTGTGATTTTGCATTTCATATAATGTGTCAACACCATCTCCGTTGTAACACACATGGCAACATGTCAACGCGTAATGTTTCCCGTTGTGACAACAGAACATTGTTAATGTGCCACTTGGAACTGTCTGATTGTTACTTCCTACTTCAATCTTTGATAGCAGTTGAAGCTTCGGTCTCGTGGAAGGTTTCGGACGAAATTCAAAATACCTCAAAGCATAAGGTTCAAAATTCTTATTTATTTCATTTTTCAATACATCTTCATCAAAACCTCCATTCTTATAATCAACTGTGATAAACAAATGTAAATATGGTATCTTCTCGTTTGGACCGACTTTTCCATACTCTCCCCGCATCCAAGGTAAACTGTAAAATAAAAAAGTGAAATGTTTAAAAAATAGCAATCATATATGTGTAATCGAATTGTAATAGTGAACATTGGGGGAGGGGGAGAACGTCATCAATTCTTGTTGATCGTACTTGTGCTTAATTTTACGGTAAAATACGTAATATTATTAATAACATGGCTGCGTCGAGATCTTCTGTTATCACAGGGACAGCTACTGATGTATTATCCCCTTAAACATACCATGAGGGACGTTTAGACAAAATATGCCCCATCAATATTAAAACCAGTGCTCCTTGTTTCCACATTTTAATCTCAATGCCTGTAGAATATATGCTGCTCCACAATTTATGTCGTTGAGTGGTAACAGATGCTTGTCTTTTCTTTGCATTGGCAACTTCCTTGTCACTTACTTATGAAAACCGGTAATAAACCATGAACTACTTTGCCGGACAAAAATTAAAAACTGCTATACAAAATTTAGTTTCAAGTTGTTGATTGAGGCTATGATTGAATTCATCCTTATGTATCATCTTTTTAGACCTAAATAACTGTAGAGAAAAGTTCACCTTTTGAGCTTCATACGCACATCTTTTCGAATGGCAAATCTTTTATCAAGAAACATTTCTTCAAATAAACGATCATCATTGGATTTATGACGAGAGTACTTCTTTGACGTACTATAACCCGGGTTAACATCGATGGAACTTTCTTCGTTAGAATCGTCTTTAAAACTGGCATAGTGATCAGGAAGACCTGAAAAAAACATAACATATAACTTAAAATAATTAAATTACTGAATTTGTAAACATATTTGTTAGTTCTGGCGAACCATGGTACGGATTGTTCAATTGACAATCTGAACAAACGTACACCAACACATGCTTTACGTACAACACAATTTAACAAAAGATGGAGTCGCATGGTGCTGCCCACCAAGTCACAAAGTACATTGTGACCCAACGACGCTTTACGACTTACAATTTAAATCAACCTTTAAAATGTCTTATATACATTTATGATTAAAGCTTTATTTTCAAAACACATGCATATCATTAGGTTTCATATCGCTATTTTATTTAAGGGAGCCTGGCATTTCACCCTGCTTCTTTTGCTTGCTTTTTGGACAAACCTTTTGTTATCCGTCTTTATGAGCTTAGTGCACACGCATATAATTTGCAAACCTCAGAGGAAACTTGCTGACGAATATTGATGTATAAGCTAACAAGTGAAGTAATGTACATATATACGACTGCCAAAAAGGCAAGCCTGCTTCCGAATCATAACATGACATCGTCAAGAGAACGTACTTATTAAACATCAAATCAACTTTATACTATGACAACATCAACATAAGTTGTTGCTTATCTAAAAATCGTACCCAAGAGCTGTATCACCTGTGGGCTATTCTATGCTGTTTTTCATTAACACTCCGGAATCTACCTTACTCAGAAAAGGATGCTCGCATTTAGTGGTGACAACGTTCTTTAGAGCATCTGTGTCTAAGCTGACGTCCGAAATATTTCTATACTTCCTTCTCCAAATCTTTGCTTATCTTCAATTAATTCCCATTTTGTTTCCAGTCGGGCTCTATGATGCCATTTAGAATGCAAAAAATCTTTTTATCATCAACTACTTCAATCTCATAAGGTCAGTGGTTTGTTAAATGTTTATTTTTTTAATGTGTATAATGCGTGAAAAGCAACAAGCTTCTGTTTTTATCTATTGTTTTATCTCTTTGAGTTCTTGCAAAAAATATAAAATTTGTACCAGATCGTCACCGTTTTAACATATCAAAGCGTATTGTTTCTTATCTTTGTTACAAAACATTGCAACAGTACCTTTTGCCTTTGTTTCACATTCATCTTCAATATTTCCTCTCGTGGGATTTGGATCTTTCTCCCTTTTTATGACTTTTATATCTGATGACCAACGAAATTGCGATTTCTCCTGTGGTTCCGGTATAAATTCAAAGTAATGAGAAGCTTTCCATCCAAAAGTTTCATCAATTTCTTTTCTTAATGCATCTTCATCATTTTGTCTTTCTGCTGCTACAGTCACAAACAAAGAAAGACGAGGTTTCCACCGTACACCATATCCACCACAAATCCAAGAAAAACTATAAAATATTATTTTCAAAGTCAAACAAATATTGAAAACAATTAATTTTAATACATAGTCTACCATGTTAAATGAATATTAATTTCATATTCATGATACAATAAATCAAAGTAGCGTCGTTCAGAGGTTACTATAGCATTGGACAATTTTGGTACTGATATTATAGCAGTAAACTTAATTCAACAAGTCGCTTATGTAGACTCTGTATAATAAACAGAGTATCTTTACCGTTTAGTTTGGTACGTCTTTTGTACAGCTAATAATGAAATTTTGAAAATGCAAAATGTTTTACCAGTGAAAATACCGTTGTTAAAAGTCCTTCAAAACAGGCTTTGTCTACGAAGAATTTATCGGAGAACAATTCATTCACTTTGAGTAAAAATATGGACTGTTTTGCACAAGCTATCAAAATTTTAAGCAATTTGGGGCAAGCGCTGGCCATTGCCAGTTCTTTAAAACTTGATTTTTTTTGCGTTTTTGACTTTTAAAACAAAGTTTAATCACATCATCCCAAATTAATTATATGCATTTCGGAATTTGTCATAAAGTACAATATGAAATTAGCAAGCCAGTTACCATTGGTATGAATGTTGTAGATAATAAAACTTAGCTAGTGTGAAAAGCGAAAACGCGAAGAAATTTTAAAGCGAAAAACTGCAAAAATTACTCAAATTTCCTTTAAATTCATTAAATTGATAAAAAAAAAATAAAATTAACGACAAGCCCGGTCATGTTGTCACAAAAGTGTCTGTTTCTCTTTTCCTTGACTGTTTTTCAGTTTTTCAACCTTTTTTCATTCATATCTATGAGTTCAAAGCCACAAAAAGTTCAATATATTTACAGGGGAAGATTTTCTGGGGGTTAGGGGTGGGGTGGGGGTTAGCAATCATTTATGTGTAATTGAATTGTAAATAGTGAATATCGGCGGGGGGAGGGGGAGAGAGTAATGAAATCTTAATTTTTCGTTAAAATACGTAATATTATTAATAACATGGTTGCCTCGAGACCTTCTGTTATCACAGGGACAGCTTTTGATGTAATATATTATCATATCAAATATCATCCAAAATCCACGTGACCATACAAGCTTTTACAATATGAGTTTAATGAAAACCGTTACTATTCAGTCTAAAACAAAACCCGTCAATAGTTGATTGTTTACGAAATTAATATGTTAACCTGGGTATAAGAAATTCAATGCACCTAGCGAGTAGGTTTAAATTTAATCCTTGTTTTAACACTAACCGAAGTTTGAGCAACGTAAATTAAACCATAATAAACCTACTTGTCTATCAAGTGGTAGTGAAAATTTTTCGAGTTTGCAAATTTTTTGTTTTTAATAAAAACCGATGATGTCATCAACAATAAAACGTAAATTTTTGCTTAGTGTGCGCACTTATCTTAACGAAATATTAAATTTAGAGGAAGTGTAGAAACGATTTATCGAGACTTACCTCTTTAATTTGTCAAGAATCTCATCTCGAATATCGTTATGTTCGTTAAGAAAATTTTTGATAAAGAAATCATCATTGTTCTTTACATCGTCAATGGGAGGTACATAATGCTTCTTCACGGTATCAACTGTGAGATCTAAATCTTTCGTTGCTTTTATGGAAAAATCCATGTCTATAACAACAATTGTAATGATTATTAGTTGGTAAACAATTTACGAGGATTACCTAATCAGTAAAGTAGCGATGTCAAACATGCATACATGATTTTTCACAAAAGCAATTTTATTTAAAGCTGACGAATTAAGGTTCAAGTTAATTTGAAAAATACAATTTGATACATTGATGATGTTTGCGTTAAACACTGAATGTTTTGACGCATACTCAAAAAGTTCATAAAAAATTTTAAAACGTGAAATCTTCTTATTTCATTTCTTGAAACTAACGTTTTCTCTGCATTTTACTCATCATTTTGAGCTGTCGCACACTGAATTTGGTCGACAGGAAAGCATTGAAATTTGCGTTTGAATATGGCATATTTCCTTGTTTTAATGCGAACTTTAATTTCAGCCCCTGACTTCATTTAAAGGACGGAAGAAAAATTTTAAAGCTATTAAGTTAATAAAAATATATAGGAACCAGAACATTTCCAAAATGAGTTTTACATTTTTTTATGAGTTTTCTTTGCAAAAATCGAGTATAGTTGGTGAAAAAGAGTAATAAGAATAAATAAACAACATATACAAGCCGTTATATTTTATAAACTTCTAAAATAAACTTATAATTCTCGATGAACTGGGTGCCGCATCCTTGCACAGTCTTTAGTTTAATACACGCGCAATGCATGTTGTCAGAAACCAACTGCAATTCGCTTAGTTCCAGTCTACTATAGTTTTATAAACTTCTCAATAAGACTCATAATTCTCGAAGAAATGGGTGCCTTCCTTTACGTAGTCTGTGGTTTTGTAACCCATGCAATATCAAAATGCACATAAAATAAGGAGAATTTTTTTACCAAGCTAGTAACGTAACGATACACTGGAAGTAAAAATATGGCGATTACGCAAAATTCGGCAAAAAAATCGTCAATGAGGACAATATTGTGTTGCTGGTTGGCCAAACGGGAAAAAGTTGTACAAACAGTAAACACAGCGAAGGTGTCTCAGTACATCGTTTTCCCCTGATAGACAAGGAGAGGCTGAGTATATGAACAAAAGTGGTGAGGAGACATCGACTAAAATTGTTTCTCAGCAGTACTCAAGCCGTATTATGTTCAATGCATTTCGCTGATTCTGCATTCACCGCAAACGCAGCATTCAAAATTATTAAAAGTACGAGACGACAAACGACAGTTGGATAGTGGCTAAATTAACAATTGATTTAGCTACTATTGTATCCTCAACGACGGAGTTCGAAAGTAAATTTTCATTTGCTATATCAGAGTTTTCAGTATCCGAACCGCATTCGCTTTTACTGCTTGATTTCAGTCAAACAGTCAGGAAAAAAGATTCGATTTAGTGGGATGTACAGACATTTTGTTATATAAAAAATGATGATAGACAGGCTTCATTGAAAGAGCAATCGCACTTAAGTGAAAAAAATAGTTGAATATACAAATACTTCCCCCGTCCGATTTGGCGTAAAGAGTTTAACATTTTACCCCTGATACCAAGAGCTTTTATTAATGAAAATATTAAAATAATTTGATGATTAGAAATCACAGGCAAGCATCAAAAAACTCCGCATTTGTTTTATACTGGTGAAGAAACAAAACAGTTCGATTGTACTGATACAAAAAATGCAACAAGAGCTTATTTGTCAGCAAAATGTAGCTAACTATAAAAAAAATTGATCACGTGTTTTGATAGCAGAAACTATGAGGTTCAAGCTAATATTTTTCATATTTTCAAAAACATCCGTTTTAACAGTTTTCAAAAACTTCAGAAACACTTAGCTAATACACCATGACGAATAAGCTGTTCCGCGCAATGTTTAAGTTTTCGACAACAGCTACGTCTTTGTTTCACTGTAGTTTCACGTTTTCATTTTTTAAAAAGTCATTTGTTTTCATTTTTTAAAAAATCATTAAATCATATTTTCAAATTTCAGTGGAAAATAGCACGAAATCATCAGATTTTATCATTATCACTCGTCTTACTTATGTTGCACTTACTTTCCTCATTAGCACCAATTACATTGCTTGAAAATTTCATCGCTTGCTTAAAACAATCTTTTGCTTTTTCGTACTCTGTCATTATAGTAAACTGAACTCAGATTGTTGTACGTTGTCGCAATATTAACATGGTCAGGTCCAAATGCTTTATTTTTAATTTCTATCCCTCGTTCATAAAAATCTTTTGGTTTTTCGTACTCTCCCATGTCTTTGTAAACCGAACCGAAATTCATTCATTCCATGGATACTTGCTTTGGTCTATCTTGTAAAAAGTTGGCAGGGAATAGTTTTGCCGTCCCAAACCATGGCTGACTTAAGATACTGATCAGGATGAAGTAGATGATTTTGTTGATCATTATAACAAGTCTAATAACAAAGTAGGAGAGGTAATTATTGCATCATGAAGGACTTTGAAGCCCATTCAAAAGTATTCTGGGAAGGGGGGGGGAGGGAGTGAATAGTTTGAAAACAAACTTTTTATGTAGTCCATGGAAAAGCAATGGCAAAGCCAGCACTTTTTTACTTTTACATTGCAAATATTTTTGTATTCAATCACTGGAAAAACAATGAATGGATTTGAGTTTCTAAAGAAATTATTAACAATTTTGCTGACAAATTTGCATTGTAAAAGTAAAAGATTGGGCAGGCTTCGCCCCTGAGAAAAGTGGGTCTATGCTTCATGAAGGTCCATGGGCCCTCATACATACGTAAGTAGCTACGTGGATTTAAAATCAAAATGCAAACAGCCAATTCTTTTCTTTTCCTTTAATTTATCATGTTTATGCATGGTCTATGTCTTGATTGTGTAAAGTGTCACGTTTATTTTTACACTAATAAAACAATTGTTATATATGCGCTAATCTATAATGTGCTCCAACTTCTTTTAGAGTTGTCAGATATTTAAGGCAGGAGAAGTTGCAGAAGCACTTCACTCCAAAGGAAAAAATCAACTGTTTAATGAAAACGGAGTGTTTGGTAGTTGTTGCAGTCGGCATTCACACCCTGGACAATTTTTCAGCACTAAATATGGGGAAAGGTTAGTGTCTTAGCCTTGGTTTGCACGTAATTACCAATATTCTTGATCTTTGATGAGGTAGTATGGAGAACAAAACGTCGGGTTATAGTTTCTTTTCCTGTGTCAATTTTGAAATAAAGAGACAAAGGCAAAACGATTCTGTGCTAACGAGATCTATTATTACCCTTTAATAATATTTAGTGTCTTATTATTAATATTCCGAATTTCGTATTCGCTGTTTCTAATCCAAAGCATTTTAAAAGATGCTGACCAAAGTCCTGGTGTTGATTTAAAAATAATGTATGATATTGGATGTGTATTATCATCACATTTAAAGGTATCTTAATGTTGGCATGTATGATGTAGGACAAGTTCATTCACCAACTAAACTTTGAATAAATTGGTACCGTTCTTGGCAAACAAGAGGCATGACATTTTGTCAAAAGTGTCATTTTCGGTGCCGATAATTCATTGTTATGGACACAAGGCTTCACGCCAGGTAATGAATAAAGCTTTCTACCTGGTAGTGACAGCGATGGATTGAGAGGCGAGATAACGGAGGAATGTGCTCTCCTCCAACCTTGATTAGTGGAGATGGATGAGGAGTGGCAGTTTCCCTAAGAAATTTAGGCATACCAAACCATCAAGCGATCGTAATTGGGGTTTATGGAGCACAATTTCAAAAATCTCCTATCATTGTATATAAGTAACAAAATTTAACGAAAAATATCTTGCATGTTACAGCAACAAGCAGCCACTAGAATCTTATTCAAACTAGAGCACCCCCTCCCTCCAGAAAAATACATCCCTGGGTAATGATGTAGCGTTTGAAGATCGACAATCTTTTCTGCTCTGGTTTTATCCTTGATAAAAAGCCCCCGTAGGTAAATTATTATTTTTTAATGTCTTCAAAAAAACAGGTCAAGTTCAGTCCTAGAAGGCTCGATGGTTTTGGTCTTACAGATGGTAAGGCTATTGAAAGGCTTACCTTCGTTGGTCCTCAGCAATTACTAAGGAGATGTATGCCAGTAGAAGAGTCATCTTTTGACAGACGCGCTTCTTCTCTTATCTCGAAGAAATTTTAGCAATGCAGGTGCTTGAATATTGTCATTGCTCTATGTGTAACAATGTGTTGACACAATGAAAATGTTTTTATTTGTTTGCATCCAAGAAAAATATGTCGTTATTTAGTAAAGGCTTCTTCATCGAATTTAAAATCTGTTATGAAAAGATAAAGATTTATTAGTATTGATTGAACTTCAAAATAGCCTACTCGTTTTTACGAAATACCCTACTAAAAAACGAGATTTTTTTATTGTACAGGAAAATACAAAACCTGTAGCATATATAGTTACATACGTATTTATTTTGTTTGTTAGTGACGTACGATCCTGAAATTGTTTTTTCAGTGGGAGACCAGAGAGAAGGAAATTATGTCAAGATTCTACCCAGGTATATAATCTTATTCATGAGAAATCGTTTCATTCTTAACAATTCAGTCTGTAGGATATAAAGACGTACTTTTTAAATACAGAACATAAAGAAACCACCGAGAACTGGAATATTACGTACGTTTAAAAGCTACTGCATTTTAAACAATTTAGGAAGGTTCTTTAATGTACTATACTGGCTGTTTCTCTAAAATACATGCCTATAGACCTTTTTTAATATTTCTTTTGAGCCTAATTAGTGATTTATTTAAATTCTTAGTGCTACATCATTTGGATCTTTTGAAGAAAACCAGGAGATAACCTCCGAAGATTACTCAATTCAACAGATGTCGAAAAAACTATACCAGTATGTATAAACGTGTCAATTGAAAATATTTTGCTTTAAAGTTTTTTTTACATACATAAAATTTATGTAAACAGGTTTCGAAAGATTTTAAAAGATATTGAACGAAAGTATTCTGCAAAAGAAAGATGGAAACCTGGTCATCCTAATTTTGACGTCGTTGCATTGCAAGTCATACAAAGAAAACGAAAAGATACTGTCATAGCTTTACATGGACTTTCCATAGAAAGGCATTTCTTAACAACATTGAGAAAGAAGTTTACAGGTACTGTAATGCACTGTAAATTTCGGATACCTGTAACCTAAGCTATGTTACCATATCTGTCTTTTGTTGTGTTTGTAAATGTTAATTTTGTATTCTTTTCACTTGTTTAGATGGTCAGAAAATTGCCACTTGCTTGCCCAGGAAAATCACCAAGGTCACGAACAAGATGAAATTAACAATTGAGAAACACAATGCTGCCATTGATTCTCTTCGTGATTTTATAAACAGTTTACCCGATCGTCTGACATTTGACAAAACGAAAGATCCTACATCAGACCTTTATGAGGGATTTGAGTCTGGTGAGGATGACATTCTAGGGGAAGCCTCGGTCCCAGTATACACAAAGAGGAAGGCTATTGAAAGGTACTTAATCCTGTAACGATGTGACGAGGAAGAGAAACTTTTAAACTTGGAAAGAGAAAGGCTTCTATTGTATTACACCAATCTTAGCTTAAAAATTGAGGAAGCACTTGCTGATCTTGGTGATTTGAGCAGCGATGAATTCATGCTTGGTTCAAAGCATGAACTGATGAGATTTAAAACCAAATTGCGGAATGAGTTGTTCAGCTTGAAGAAAAGTTTTGAACTTCCACTTGGAGAAACTTTTCTTCTCCAGGCTGAAGTTATCAACTTAACCAATGATGTCAACATTCCCAATGAATCTGAAAGCTCACCGTATGAGGAATCCGATACTGAAGATGAAAACATCGAAGAGCTCTCAGAAGTGGACAGTGACATTGAATAGACAACCTAGCTACTATTCGTAAACTAATAGCTACTTTTTATGTACTTACTTATGTAATTTAGTTGTTCATGTATCTAGTATAATAACTGATATCACGCAAACATTTGTGGTTTTGTGACGTCATGTTAGTGCAGAGTCATTTTCTCATTTTGTAATACAATAGAATGATTTTCCATCTTGAGAAGAACTACCTTGGACATGGAGCAAACTTTATTTTCTTGTCTTATTTCATAGATTGCTCAACTGAAAATCAAATGCTATGTGGATTACCTGATTGCATGAGTATCAATCTGTCGGAATTGCTACGTTCCTCATCAAAGAAGCCTAGATATTCTTTCCCAAATGGTAATTTTGATAGCATGGAGTTATGTTTGTTTAGAGGAATGGCAGTTGCAGCGAAAAATCTGAGTTTGATGTCATCGAGGAAGCAAGAACTATTCTTAGCTTACCATCTCATCCATGTTTTCCAATCTTAATTGGTATTTGTCGGGATGAAAAGCCATTCATTTTAATAACAAAATTTTATGGTCATGTAGGAACTGGAGTGTACATGTCCTTGGAAGGATTGTGCTATAGTCATGGAATCACTTTTGCATAGTGGATACCTTTGTGAATTAAGACATGGGAAGGCATAGAGCTGTTGCATTCTTGTGGATTTGCTCATGGAGGTCTTGGAGTTCAAAACATTATTGTTGTGAAACAAAAAGAAAAGAAAAAAGTTTGGGTGCCAGCATTTCTGAATCTTAATGAAGTCAAAGCTTTATGTGGAAGTATTGACGACAACTTAAGTCAGCAAGACTGCTTAGACTTTGGCGTCTTGCTACATAAAGTAACTACTCTCCCTGCAATAAAAGAAACATGTGCATTACGCCAGCAAAAGAAACTCAATTGTCCAAAGCTATTTTTTCTGGTTGCAATGCATTGTCAATAGCAAGACGTTTAAAACATATTGTACAAACATACATTTTTTTTGCTAATGCAAAAGTATCTGAATTATTACAGTTAATTTTACAAATATGATATCTTATTTGCCTATTCAGTGAATTGTGCATGTCTTTGTGTTGGTGAAAGGTAGAACCCCCCCCCTTAAAAAAAATATTTTTCTATAAAATGTAGTTTTTACTTTTGGGCTTTAATTTTGAAATTTTAATTATAGAATTAGACATTCTGCATGGCTTACATGTGAATAGAAAAATATTATCTTTTAAAAAACCATGTTCAATCCAACTAAAACTAAAAACTGAGTTGATTACAATGCACATTTTGCAGTGCTACCTGTTACCATTGTAAACAATGAAATTTTTTTTAATTGGTGGAAAATTGAAAACTATATATATCCCTGTTGTGATAAAATTTGAGTAATTTTCCTTTCAAAGGACTTGTTCAATATGAAGGTTTGGGAATAATCAGTAAACCTATGAGTCTCAAAAATTACATTGCCATTGTCCTTAATAGTATTTTTTCCAAAGATTGTTTCTTTTTTCTTAATAAGATGGAAGGTATTGCCTGACTCATGATTTAGCCAACATCCTGTCAATTTACCTCTTGCTCTTATCTGCTGCAGAGCTTGTAGAGATCCCGTAAATGAAAAAAGCCAGAACTGACTTTCTTCATAATCACAGTACGCAGGCAAAACGAAATGATTTGCCTGAGACACATATGCATTCAATTTTTTTTTAACTCTCTCAAAGCTTCTGGACATAACACTTTCCAGTGAGTTGATATTATTTCTTCGGTTTCAGAAATTTTATGAGGTATTAATATCCAATACCTCCACATCTTCTTTTGATACTTTAAAGTCACATTTTCCGAATACATTACTAAGTAATTCCTTGCAGTCTTCACCAAAATCTTGCAAAGGTGCACCTTCTGACGCTTCAAGAATGAAGGAAATACTGTCCTGGCAGTCCATGATTTTCTGTATTTCCTTTGAGCTATATTGCCGTGGCTTCTTTAGGCGAATGTCATCTGGTAGTCCTTCAACATGAAAACCACCAGAAAGATATGGAACGCGAGAACCAGTCACACCTTTTGCTTCACCTTTAAGAAAAATGCTCACTGACAAGAACTAACAATCATAATGACTTAACATAATGACTGTAAAAAGGGTAATTTGTTACAAACTTAGTCACAGGAAAAAATTTTGTATCTTCCATAAACTTTTTATTAAAAAAACAGTGAAGATTTATTTATGCAGGTGTATCAAAAAGTAAAATTACACTATCACTGTAAGGTAAACACTACCATTCAGGAATATACAGGTAACCTTTGTACGTAACTGTTATTAACAACATTATACTGTTTTCAAAAGTATTTAATGAAAAATTTATTCAAAAAATATTTTTTTAAACTTTCAGCCATAGAGTGAAATACTTTATCCAGGCCTGTGGTGGTTAAAATTACACCTGTATAGTCACATCACTCTCAATGGTAAAGACCTGCGTACAAGAATAAATAAAAAATTAACTTACTATACTTCTTGTTAAAGAGCATTCTTACATCTTCATGAGTCCATTTCTGTTTTTCTCGGTCTACATCTACCAAATATAGCATACAAATTTTTTTTTACCTATACAAACTACAATTTTATCCCAAAAAGCTTGCTTCGTGATTTTCACTCTTTTTAGAGAATTTAATGAAGAGTGAGAAATCACGAAGCAGGCTTGTCAATATAAAATTATAGTTTGTGAATTTTCGTTATAAAAGCGTGCTCAATATCTTTATAGATTGAGCAAAATATAAATTCATAAAAGTAAAATAAAGCATCAACTAAACTGTCTTTCACCTGGTGATTGCCAAAAGGCGCGAAACACAGTGTAGCAAATGGTTTCATGATATTATATACGTATACCACTTTATCGGATACCAAAAATACCTTGATATTACCGTTAGAAATATGCTATTTTGAGATGGGATGAACATTTTGCAAACATACGTAATACGACATTATAGTAAAGCTCTGAAACTTAGTCATATGTATCTACTTGACTACTATCCAGTAACTGGTATCCATGAACTAGTGCTGACATATCAATAGAAGTTAAACTTTATGCCTATTACGTATTTGTGATCTTTGCAAATTTTTTACTCTTTACCAAACATTGCTTGAAACTTGCGCAAAACTGCTGGTTTATTGTGAACAAATCTTTTTCCTCCTGATGAACCAAGGACATAAAGTTATTTTTTTCCATTCACTAGTAAGCAGCTGGCCTGGCAACCAAGATACTCCAAGTAATTGAACTAAAAGAAAAGTAAAATAATTGATAATGGTCATATTAGGCATAAATACTGCAAAAAGCTATGTATAGTTTGCAGCAATATGGACTTTAACAATTAGAATGAGATGACATTTGTTTTTACATTTAATATAAACGACAACTTTTTTGAAAATAGACATGTTTCGACATCTCAGGATGCCATGTCGAAACATGTCTATTTTCAAAAAAGTTGTCGTTTATATTAAATGTGTATTGGCAATAGTGCTTTTACGAAATTATGGAAACATTTGTTTTTATTATTATTGCTATAATTTTTTATTTACTATACATAGTTTCTGTTACATGTTTGTAAATGTAGATCGTCCAGTTTGGTATAGTCCTGAGAAGGACTGTCTTTGTTGTTGTTGACTGACGTTTCGACAACCTTAGCGGTAGTCATCTTCAGAGTCAAATGAGGAGTAAACGTCAGGTTAGCCGTAATTGTTATCTGGTTCTTACGTCATTGTATTGAGTGTACAGGAAATGTGTATTGTCATTGTGAATTAGTGTGAAGTGAAATGTTTTTAGTTGTGATGTGTGATTTAGTTGCTGAAATTGTAATGCAATCTATAGAGGAACGGGCGCTCACGACTTACAAACATGCACTACCTTTTTGGTTCCGTTACGTAGATGACACAATCACAGCACTACATGAAGACGAGATTGATGACTTTCACACTCACATCAACAAACAGAACAGCCACATACAATTTACCAAAGATGTCGAAGAAAACGGAACTCTTCCTTTTCTTGACTGTTTGGTAAAACATGACAGACAAAAACTACGAACAACAGTTTATCGCAAGCCAACACATACTGATCGACTACTAGACCAATCATCTTACAACCCTACATCACACAAAGCCACCAAAATCAGAACATTAACAAGACGTGCACAAATCATATGTGATTCACCGGACGCTCTACACAACGAAAAAAACTATCTCAAACGTGTTTTGGACAAAAACAACTATAACTCTGACTTTATCAAACGCAACACTTACAAACCCGACGAACCCAACAAAACGAACAGCTCAGTGACAACAGCAACTATACCTTACATCAAAGGTACGTACGTCTGAGACTATCTCGCGTATCTTACGACCATACAACATACGTGTCGCACATAAACCAATCACAACGTTACGACAAGTACTAACGAATATAAAGGACAAAGAACAACCCAACGAACGACAAGGTGCAGTTTACAAAATAAACTGCTCCGACTGCCACGCCTCCTATATCGGGGAAACTGGTAGGAACTTAAACATAAGACTTACTGAACACAAACGAGCAACTAAGAAACAAGACAAAACTAATCACATTGCCGAACATCACCGAATTACAAAGCACAACATTGACTGTGACTCGGCAAAATGCATTACTTACAGTACTGACTATAAACAACGGCTTACATTAAAAAGTTGGTACACCAACTTGGAACAACCCCCCCTGAACAGATTAAAGCAATTACCGGCACCTTACAAACGACTTATTCACAATACAAACGATCAACTAAAAACATTACACTTCACACTAATTCACAATGACAATACACATTTCCTGTACACACAATACAACGACGTAAGAACCAGATAACAAATACGACTAACCTGACGTTTACTCCTCATTTGACTCTGAAAATGACTACCGCTAAGGTTGTCGAAACGTCAGTCAACAACAACAAAAACAATCCTTCTCAGGACTATACCAAATTGAACGATCTACATTCACAAACATGTAACGATACTCCCGAGTTCAAACCATTTACTTTATAGTTTCTGTTGTTGTTGGTATTGCTATGATATTATTTCTACAAATGTAATGCTATACCATCAATGCTATTGTAATGATCATCATTACTGATGTAGAATTAAACAGAATCTGTTGTTGTCCAAACACTATTCTACATATCCCAAATTATATGACATATATGTCTGCATTACATCTGTGATTAAAGCAGTGAAGTATAAATAGTGTCATAAAATATCAACAACAACAGCAACAACAATCATCTCTTCAGTGATTAATCTTCTTGGAACCAAAAGAATTTTATAATCACTTTTCACAGCATTTAGTAACTGTATAAATTTTCAATTTCACACAAACTTTAAACTTCATACTACCATTAAATATAGTTTATTATTATTAAGTCATTTCTTCAATAATTCTTTCATAGCCTTATGAAACAGTTCAACTGATACAATCTACATAAACAGAATACAAAAAAATTTTCATGCCAGATGACGTTCAAGGCAAATTTCATGCCAAAAGAAAAACAAGTTTGCAATAAGAAATAACTTTCTTTCTGGTAATCACTGCAACCATGTTTGCACAAAAAATACATGCTCAAAACAAAGAGTTTTACTCAACTTAACACAATAAGAAATGCATCCAATGTTAAGGCAATATAAACTTCCTTTATTAGAATACCATGAATTATGTACATTTCCAAAGACTTAAGTCTCCCCAATCAATGGCCTATTCTAATTTATTCTAATTACTTAATGCTACCTCGGCTATTCATTGCAAAATTAATTTATTAAAACGACTGTTACCTTCTCAGCTAAAAATTTCATATGCTGATCAACCATATTTGTTCTTTGAGCATCATCTAATGTCACTGGGTTGTTTTTCATGTCATTAGCTTTCTGTATGTATTTATTTTGCTCAGATTCTCAAAGACCAATCCATTTGACAGAAGCCAATTTATTGTTTTCACTCAGGTGAGACAGTCCCTTTACTTCATCTGCAATAATGGATAAATTTGTCAAGGCTTTCATCATAGCAAATTCTTGATGGGTACATTCCTTAAACCCTTATTGATGATACTAAAGTGATTTTAATATTTCATTCACCTGATTTAGAAAATTCTGAGCAAAATTGATTATGTCCGCTTGACCGCCGTAATCTGGGTGGTGGTTTGGGGACTTTTGGTGGATTACATGAGGGTAGGGGTGACTCTGAATTATTAGATTGACATTTTCTTTTGACAGAAGCAACTTTGTTGCCAATCCATTTCTGAAAAAAGCATAATGTTAGTTGTGAAGAAGCTGTTGGATAATTTCAAAACATGCAGTATCAAACAAATTTTGTGAAATTTTTACTGACATAATAACATCAAGTGTTACAATAAAGCTGCACCAGTTACTGTGTTTCACAGCCCATAACTCTGTACATAAATGATGTCTATTGTATATCACAATACATTATAAGAATGTGCTTTTTGAAAAAGGAAAGTTTAAAGTAGAGCTTCATACAAATTACTGTGGAGTAGAAATACAAATTTAGGGATGTGATTGAGATACGTATGGCTTTGATTTGATGGCGCTGGTTTCGTAGTTGGTTTACTGCATACAGAGAAAATTTTAAAAGACGGCGGACGACTAAAGAAGAGGTTGTTCTCACCTTGACCTTGTCCACAGACAACGACGTTTCATCGGCGGCTGTTGTTATCAGCTCAAAACACAGAGTAGATTTCATGCCATTCTCAAAATAGTAATTAAGAACATCAATTTGCTCTTTTGAAAGTTTGTTATATTTTTCAGGTCTGTTGTTCATTGTATATAAAAAATCCTTGGTATAGATTATTAGTGTATGTTTGGAAACAAAAATGGCGACGATCTCAGATATTATCCTTATGAGTAGAATAGTGTACAACATCATCCTACCACATCCATTATTAGATGGCACAGAAAGATATCTAATTTGGCTATCTTCCGCATTCTAAAGTTTAGAACTCTGAGTAATACCCATTTAGAATGAGCAAAACGGGTGAAATATACGTCTTCTTTTAAAGTTTTCGTTCTTATTAATGTTAATTCTTTGCGTTATTTTAGACGTGAACATTTTTCTGTTAATGCAATTGTGAAACATAGAACAAATGTTGGTGGTTTTAATTCACCACGATGGAGGACTTATATAAATAAAGGAATTGATTATTGTCCACGATGAAAACGTCTTGGGCTTTTGTTTACCATTCCCTTGAGGCTGAGCTATTTAGGAATTGATATTCTACTTCGTCTGAACTGCTTTATAACTGAGGAAATATTAAGATAGTAAGTATCGTTTTCCTCCTTCATCGTTTTTAACAGTAATTTTACAAGACGTAAATATATTGTGAGTCCACCAGGCCGTTTACATGGCAAGCTATGAATGGGAAATGAAAAGATTTTGTTCTTTAGCGACGTTTCAATCTCCAGTGTCTCCAAGTCAAATGCAGTTTATTGGCCTTTGGCTGTTTTAAAACGTTTTCCTGAGCATTTTTCTTTCTTAGATCAAGATTCTTGTCTCGATAATTGATCGAAAGACAAGTTACTTTTAACCAAAGATTTATGATGGTAGGATTTTTACAGCAACAAAATAAACTCATGAGAAAGTTATGTTTATCTCAGGTGTTAAATTAGCTATTGTAACTTTACACAATTTCATTTTCTTTACAGAAGAAAAAAATCACGCCATTATCAAACGCCTCAATTTCGACATTTTTTAATGTGAAAATGTTGTGGGATAAAAACATGGATAAATTATAAAAATCCTAATTTTCTTACCGCAGTCAATATTTTCAATTTCATGCCATGTGCGACATGCACAGTTGTAAGAAATGGTCAACCTTGCTTCTGTACTTGCCGTCGTCGACATGAAACTAGGGATATTTGTCAGACAGCCTGAAAATTAGCTAGATGCGATGGTTAATATCGTCCATTCTTTTTCTTCCAAAACAAGTTTAATTGTTCCCAGTTTGTTGGCCCAAATGGCTAAAATCAAATGAAAAAAATAGTAATTTATCTTTTTGTGAAACGACAATCCTTGCACATTATAATGTTTTTGTCTGATTTTACTCTTTACGTCTACTTTTGTGTCTACCTTTTTGTTTCCATTAGTCTTCGTCAATCTTTTGTGTATATTTTTGTGTATCTTTTTGCCTTTATTTGTGTTACCTTTTAGTCTATGCTTTTGTCTACCTTTGTGTCCAGCTTTTTGTCTATGTTTTTGTCCACCTTTGGGTCTACCTCATGATAAAAAGTTTTTCCACCTTTCAGTCTACCACATGTTTCTATACCTTTGCGTCTCTCTTTTGTTATATATTCGCTTTATAATATGAAGAGTTATATCACAGGAAGAAGAAAGTCTCTCAGAAAACCCACAGGTTTCTATTCTGGGTCCTTTATTATTCTTAATATATTTCAACCACTTGGCTAATGTGATACAATCCTTTAGTTAGGTGATGAGAACTTACAATATATAGGAAGTTTATTAATACCTTGGCACAGAAATTGACAGTCTTAATCTGAATTTATTAAAATGGATAAATGCTGCGTCGTTTATGTTCAATATAGTGCGCGAAAATGATAAAAAATGAATGAATCAAAATACCATACATACTTAAAAAGTGGTGTTACATGATAGCAACTGCTATCATGTAATATCAATTATAAACTATTATTAAATCATATTATAATTTCATATTTTTATATTTTAACTTTAAAATCCATTTTGCAATGTCATTACTAATTAGGACATTATCTACAAGCTTGCTTGCATGCGCTAGAAGCTTGCTTACATGCGTAAACATATTTTAGAACCGCAACCGCATTTGTTGTTATTGTGGTTAACTATATCTTGCTGTAACATACTGTATTGCGTATGGGATGTAGGTCACAAAACCACAATACTTCCCATTAGATATTATATATATATGAGTATTTTAGACCACTGAGTACAACCTACGAGGACAACCTACGAGCACAAGCTACGAGGAGATAAACTTAGGAGTCATAGCCTACGAAAGTAGGTTGACAAGCTACAATCTACCAGACGACTATCTTGGCTTTTGTGCCATAACTATCTTCTGGCTTCTGTGCCTTTAATCTATTTGGAAAACTATCGTGAGTCATCGTTGGACTCACGAACGCTCAAGAATTAAGACTCGCGGTTGTACTCAGACAGAGGAGATAAATTTTACTCATACTTATTGATATTATTATTAAGACACTTATCCACTTTAATATTTACGCGTTGACTAATAAGTTGTTTGATAAATATAACTGGTTCACACTATCTTTGTTGCATGTGGAAATAGAACCAAAATTAATAGTTATTCTTTCGGGACCACGCAGTAACAAGTGGCATCAAATTCCTTTGGCAGAAAAGTTGTACTTTTTTAACTTCAACTTGTTTTTTATGTCAAAGGTAATATTCTAAGCCATTCATAAAATTAATGCATGTACGGAATTCTTTTAATGTTTGATAAACAAAGAGATAAGAGTTTAACCTTTTCCTATGGCAAGAAATGAATTCAATTGTGTCTTCATTGCGATGTTGTTATCTTTACAATAGTTCAGAAATATTTTCTGATTAAGATAGAGATGACACAAAAAAAAACCCAATAAAATCACACTTCAAGTCACTATTGTTTTGATCGACAAAAATTGAAGTCAATGACGAAAGATAAAACCAATCAATGTTTAAAATAATTATTAAAGAGTATTATATTTGAGATATAGAAACAAATTTAATGCTAATTAAGGCTTTCAAAATCAAGTACAACTTGATTAACAGCGGGTAAAACAGTGCTCTACGCTTTTATTTCTTCCAAATGCTTCACAGTGTAGTTAAACACCTCGATTGATTTCAGTGTAGTGAGCGTACACTTGATGATCTTTGCAAATTTTGTAATCAAAATATCTTACAATATGTCTCAAAAGAACTGGTCATCTTTGAAATTAGCCTATAGTTTGAAATTTGCATGATTCAGCGGCAATGCTTGATCTCCACGCTAGGAGGTATAAATGTAATTAAAATAAGTTTGAGTGGGATTTTTAATGCACTGTAGCTTCTCTATTATACGTATGTAGTTATTAATTTATTATGTATTTAACCACGTTTAATTAAGGCTCCTTGAGGATCAAGTTTTGCTGAATTATGGAAATTGTAAATGTCAGATAATTTCAAATATTGTCAAGGTTGAAAATGAGACATCACCATGAAATATGTGATAGTCAGTCAACAAACCTGGAAAATCAAAGTGAAGCACCTTTCATGTTGATGGAGAAATGCTCAAAGGTGAAAGAAGGCGACTTTGACCAAAATTACAGTACAAATAAGATCACAACAGTAAATATGGGCCAGACACATATGATCAGAAAAAAGCCCCATTTTTCTTGGCTACATCAGTACATAAAACATACATAAAGATAAACTACATTGTCAAGTGGTCACCAATGCCAGATCTATCAAAACGCTTGTCAGCAAAGTATTTTTATTGTGTTTAATCTTTAAAGAAAGGAATGGATTTGTGGCTCCATTTCAAGGAACAAGATGCTTTGTTAGCCGCGGTTTTTGGGTATGTTTTCTTTCTCCTTTAGCTGACCAGCAACAGTTGTATTTTCAATTTCTGTAGGCAAAGATTTAAATGGAGTGTTTGTTTGGTTCTATTTGTTGTTTAATAAGACAAATCTTAACATGTACATCAATTACATGAAAAATTATAGTGCTTAGTAAGTATAATATAATTATATATTCAAGTTCTGCCACATTAAGTTCCTTTTAAATCCATTGTTTTCAATTAATTACGACATGCATATATGAATTCATTTCCTCTTCTTCTATCTCCTTGTACGTTTTCTCAAAGACAGAACTATTTTAGCTTCTAGCAAACAAAAGACAAATAAAAGTGCAAATGCTTCAATTTCAATATCTATAGTTTACTTATAACCAAATGAAGATTGTTGTATATTATTTATCGCTCGTTCATAAAAATCTTTTACTTTTTCGTACTCGCCATTTTACTGTAAACTGAACCCAGATTGTTGTACATTGTCGCAATATGAACATAATCAGGACCAAATGCTTTCGTTTCAATTCTTATTGCTTGTTCAAAAAAATCTTTTGCTTTTTCGTACTCTCCCATATCTCTGTAAACCATACCTACATTGTTGTACCTTATCGCAATATTAACATGGTCAGGTCCAAATGTTTTCGCTTCAATTTGTATCGCTCGTTCATAAAAATCTTTTGCTTTTTCGTACTCTCCCATTCTAATGAAAACCGAACCTAGATTGTTGTACCTTATCGCAATATTAGCATGGTCAGCTCCAAATGCTTTCGTTTCAATTTTTATCGCTCGTTCAAAAAAATCTTTTGCTTCTTCGTACTCTCCCATATAATAGTAAACCAAACCCAGATTGTTGTACGTTGTCGCAATATTAACATAGTCAGGTCCAAATGTATTCGTTTCAATTTGTATTGCTCGTTCATAAAAATCTTTTGCTTTTTCGTTCTCTCCCATTTTACTGTAAACCAAACCCAGATTGTTGTACGCTGTCGCAATAGTAATATGGTCAGGTCCAAATGTTTTCGTGTAAATTTGTATAGCTCGTTCATAAAAATCTTTTGCTTTTTCGTACTCTCCCATATTATCGTAAACTGAACCCAGATTGCTGCACGTTTTCGCAATATTAACATGGTCAGGTCCAAATGTTTTCGTTTGAATTTCATCGCTCGTTCATAAAAATCTTTTGCTTTTTCGTTCTCTCCCATTTTACTGTAAACCAAACCAAGATTGTTGTACGTTGTCGCAATATTAACATGGTCAGGTCCAAATGTTTTCGTTTCAATTTGTATCGCTCGTTCATAAAAATCTTTTGCTTTTTCGTACTCTCCCATATAATGGTAAACCGTACCCAGATTGTTGTACGTTGTCGCAATATTAACATGGTCAGGTCCAAATGTTTTCGTTTGAAATTTCATCGCTCGTTCATAAAAATCTTTTGCTTTTCGTACTCCCATTTTACTGTAAACCAAACCCAGATTGTTGTACGTTGTCGCAATATTAACATGGTCAGGTCCAAATGTTTTCGTTTCAATTTCTATCGCTCGTTCATAAAATCTTTTGCTTTTTCGTACTCTCCCATATTATGTAAACTGAACCCAGATTGTTGTACGTTGTCGCAATACTAACATGGTCAGGTCCAAATGTTTTCGTTTGAAATTTCATCGCTCGTTCATAAAAATCTTTTGCTTTTTCGTTCTCTCCCATTTTACTGTAAACCAAACCCAGATTGTTGTACGTTGTCGCAATATTAACATGGTCAGGTCCAAATGTTTTCGTTTCAATTTGTATCGCTCGTTCATAAAAATCTTTTGCTTTTTCGTACTCTCCCATATTATCGTAAACTGAACCCAGATTGCTGCACGTTTTCGCAATATTAACATGGTCAGGTCCAAATGTTTTCGTTTGAATTTCATCGCTCGTTCATAAAAATCTTTTGCTTTTCGTACTCTCCCATTTTACTGTAAACCAAACCCAGATTGTTGTACGTTGTCGCAATATTAACATGGTCAGGTCCAAATGTTTTCGTTTCAATTTCTATCGCTCGTTCATAAAATCTTTTGCTTTTCGTACTCTCCCATATAATGTAAACCGAACCCAGATTGTTGTACGTTGTCGCAATATTAACATGGTCAGGTCCAAATGCTTTTGTTTGAATTTCTATCGCTCGTTCATAAAATCTTTTGCTTTTCGTACTCTCCCATATCTCTGTAAACCAAACCCAGATTGTTGTACGTTGTCGCAATATTAACATGGTCAGGTCCAAATGCTTTTGTTTGAATTTTCATCGCTCGTTCATAAAAATCTTTTGCTTTTTCGTACTCTCCCATATCATAGTAAACCAAACCCAGATTGTTGTACGTTGTCGCAATATTAACATGGTCAGGTCCAAATGCTTTCGTTTGAATTTCTATCGCTCGTTCATAAAAATCTTTTGCTTTTTCGTACTCTCCCATATCTCTGTAAACCAAACCCAGATTGTTGTACATTGTCGCAATATTAACATGGTCAGGTCCAAATGCTTTTGTTTGAATTTTCATCGCTCGTTCACAAAAATCTTTTGCTTTTTCGTAGTCTCCTTTATCTTTGTGAACTGAACCCAGATTGTTGTACAGTGTCGCAATATTAACACGGTCAGGTCCAAATGCTTTCGTTTGAATTTCTATCGCTCGTTCATAAAAATTTTTTGCTTTTTCGTACTCTCCCGTATCTCTGTAAACCAAACCCAGATTGTTGTACATTGTCGCAATATTGACATTGTCAGGTCCAAATGTTTTTGTTTGAATATTTATCGCTCGTTCACAAAAATCTTTCGCTTTTTCGTACTCTCCCTTATCTTTGTAAACTGAACCCAGATAGTTGTACGTTATCGCAATATTAACATGGTCAGGTCCAAATGCTTTCATTTGAATTAATATCGCTCGTTCATAAAAATCTTTGGCTTTTTCGTATTCTCCCATCTCTCTGTAAACCAAACCCAGATTGTTGTACGTTGTCGCAATATTAACATGGTCTGGTCCTAATGCTTTTTTTTCAATTTCTATCGCTCGTTCATAAAAATCTTTTGCTTTTTCGTACTCTCCCTTATCTTTGTAAACCGAACCCAGATAGTTGTACGTTGTTGCAACATTAACATGGTTAGGTCCAAATGCTTTCGTTTCAATTTCTATCGCTCGTTCATAAAAATCTTTTGCGTTTTCGTACTCTCCTATATCTCTGTAAACCAAACCCAGATTGTTGTATATTGTCGCAATATTGACATGGTCAGGTCCAAATGCTCTTGTTTGAATTTTCATCGCTCGTTCACAAAAATCTTTTGCTTTTTCGTAGTCTCCCTTATCTTTGTAAACTGAACCCAGTTTGTTGTACGTTGTCGCAATACTAACATGGTCAGGTCCAAATGCTTTTGTTTGAATTTCCATCGCTCGTTCATAAAAATCTTTTGCTTTTTCGTACTCTCCCATATCTTTGTAAACCGAACCGAGATTGTTGTAAGTTGTTGCAACATTGACATGGTCAGGTCCAAATGCTTTTCTTTGAATTTTCATCGCTCGTTCATAAAATTCTTTTGCTTTTTCGAACTCTCCCATATCTTTGTAAACCGAACCGAGATTGCTGTACGTTGTTGCAATATTAACATGGTCAGGTCCAAATGCTTTTGTTTGAATTTCCATCGCTCGTTCATAAAAATCTTTTGCTTTGTCGTACTCTCCCATATTATTGTAAACTAAACCCAGATTGTTGTACATTGTCGCTATACTGACATGGTCAGGTCCAAATGCTCTTGTTTGAATTTTCATCGCTCGTTCACAAAAATCTTTTGCTTTTTTGTAATCTCCCATATCATGTAAACCAACCCAGATTGTTGTACGTTGTGGCAATATTAACATGGTCAGGTTCATCTGCTTTCGTTTGAATTTCTATCGCTCGTTCATAAAAATCTTTTGCTTTTTCGTACTCTCCCATATCTCTGTAAACCAAACCCAGATTGTTGTACATTGTCGCAATGTTGACATGGTCAGGTCCAAATGCTATTGTTTGAATTTTCATCGCTCGTTCACAAAAATCTTTTGCTTTTTTGTACTCTCCCTTATTTTTGTAAACTGAGCCCAAATTGCTGTACGTTGTCGCAATATTGACATGGTCAGGTCCAAATGCTTTAGTTTGAATTCCCATTGCTCGATCAAGAAAAGCTTCAGCATTTTCATATTCTCCATTCTTCAAAAGCAATGAACCCAGCCAGCCGTACGAAAATGAAACTTCAGTATGATCAACACCTAACACTTTAATTTGAATTTCTTTCATTTGATAAAGTACTTTAGTTGCAAGATTATAGTAGCAAGATCTTTCTAAAACATCTACAAAATATTTGGCAAATTTCCAATTTCTTTCATCAAGTTTTTGTTTTGATGATTTTACATCGATCAACTTATTTAGGAAATGTCGAAATGGTGAATTTGATTCGAATTTAACGAATTTAATTAGATGTGGAATTATTTTGATTTCATCTTCTCTGTCTTCAAATTGATTTAGTGCCCAAGCAACTTGACAGGCAAGATCAGCTGCCGACTCTTTAGAATTATTTTCGTTTTGTTTACAGCCAAAGGTCTCCCATGAATAATTTTTGATGGCTTCGTGTACAACGCTGTGCAGGCGGATGTCGTTGTTTTCCGTTTGAAGGAATAAAGAACAATGCTTTAATTGAAGACAGACATCTTCTGCAGATTTTTGTGGATCAATGCTTTTAATAAATTGTATTATAACATCTTGTGGTAAGGGATCGAAAGATATTATTGAGAAAAGTTTAAAAACATGTTCCAACAAGATGGATTCTTCGGCATTTTTTTGTACTGCTAACATAACAGTTTTCATTCCTAAGTAAGATGTGTTTATTACTTGAAAATTGGCATCCATGTTCTGTCGCTCTCCTTCAATCAACTTATCAAAATAATGCTCCCAGGTGAATGTTGGATTTGCACTTTTTACACTGCCTACGTAGTAAGCAGCATTTGCCAGGAACAACGGTTGACGATCTAATTTGTCTGATAAATCCTTTAAAAGTTTTTCATCGTTATTTAGAATATCAGAGAAGACAGATAGAAGTTTTCGACATTTTTCATTATTCATACCATGACTAACTGAAATGTGTTTATTTAGACTTCCATCTGATGGTATAGCATCTGTATTTTGGACAGTTACTATAATTTGACCATTTTTCCAGCTATGATCACCAACTTGAGGTAATAATGGATAAATTTTATGAAGTTCAACCACGTTATCTACAACAATCCACCATGTTTGCCATGATTTCAGTTGCTGTGTCAGCAATAATTGAAAATCTTTGATTTTGTCTTCGCTGCTTTTTGCTTCTTTTAAAATATTTTTAATGACAGTTTTATCATTGTTTAAGCGTTGATAAAGTTCAGCGTAAGTTTTCAAAAGAGAGTCGATATCTTTTCCTTCGAGTGTCATCACAAATGTCGTTTGACTTTCCCAGTCAAACGAAATATACATTTCTTCGCAAACTTGTCTGGCTAATTCAGATTTACCACTGCCAGGATTACCAGAAATATAGTAATATGTTAGTTCATTATTGTTAGTACTGCGCAAGTTATTGAGATCTGCTGTGATTTGATTAAGTAACTCTGTACGTTTAACCACACCGTGATTTGATTTGCTAGGAAGTACTTGAAAAGAACTAAATCTGTTTCGCTGACTTTTTATTTCATTAATTTCATTAAATGAAAATCCTAGATCTTGAAACGAGTTTTCAATATCACAAACCATTGTATGATATTTCGAATCAGATACTTTTTTATCTTTATTATGAGCGTTTTCGTTTCTTACATTACGAAGTTTGTTTACAGCATCTCTAACTTTTGGCTCGATTTTTGTTCCAATTGATTTGGAATACAATATCGCTGCGAATAGCGTCGTACAATCCCACTTACTAGTGTCACCATTTTGAAAATTTGACAGAATATGTTTTTCAGGAGGTCTCCCTTTTGAAGTTTCAATTTTGAACAACTTCTGACCACTAACGTTTGTATTTTCCCATACTCCGAGAGATTCTTTGTAATGTGTGTTCCATTCTTGGATAAAAAGATCAACAAGTTTCTTTGTAACATTTTTAAGTATTTTTTGCAGGTAGAAGTAATTAATTTTTTCTCTTGACTGCATCTAAGGGTCATAAAATCATTAATATCAACATAAATTGGTTCTTTAATTTGAGTTTGTAGGCAACTAAAATTGTTGAAGATCAAACATGGCTACGTAATGTTACAGTTGTACTTGTACGTGTAAAAGGATATCGAGGGTGGCAACTGAAAACAACGCAATTGGACATTTTAGTTTTCCTGCATTTAGGCATTTGACAACATTTTGGTTGTGGCGTCGCCAGGATTTTGCGAGTAAGAGGGCACGAAATTTGTACCACGTCAGTCGCTAGCAAAATGGCCCTAAAAATTGCTTCTGCACAGTTAGTTTTGTAGTATCCAATAAGAATATAAGTTTGTTGTTTCGTTTTGACAAGTTGACATTTGATGGACAATAAAAAAATCAGACAGGAGATAAACGAAGGGCGATGTAATGAAAATAGCGAGTTGTGAACGTTCATAAATAAAACCAGAAAACCTGCGAATTTTCGTAGATAAATACTCGGGAGGCAAGCAATTTACAAAAATATTTGAAATGAGCTATCGGAATATTTAATCAATTACATCGTATTCCTAGCAATGATGCTGGAAAGTTCAGTGTTTTTAAACGTTAAATTATCTAAAATTTATTTGTAATTGTTTGAACTTTTCAGACCTGCTGTATGAATATTTGAAATGAACTATTGGAATATTTAATTAATTACATCGTATTGCTAGCGATGATGCTGGAAAGTTCAGTGTTTTTCAACGTTAAATTATCTAAAATTTATTTGTGATTGTTTAAAAAATCCCATCAAAATCAACAAATGTTATTCATATCAAAAATGCCTTTCAACAAAGACACAGAAGAATACAAAAATTGTGATCATGCAAATCTTTAGCAACTAATTGTTCCATAGTTATCTAACACGAAATTTGCGAAATATAAAGATCTAGATAATAAACTTCATACTCTCTTTCGATGTAAATATTCTGGTCCTATATTCACTATAATATCAATGGTTGTACGTTGACATACCATCTAAATTGATCAAAGATCTTTAAGATCTTGTTGACTGTTTTTGTTGACGATTCAGAATATGTTTAACAGAAGATTTGTAAATTGTATAAGACGTAACAAATTAATGAAAAAAATAAAATGTTGTACACGTCTTGATAAAAGCCATGTTAGAAAAAGTAAAATTATTGCACATAATGACATGCATATCTAACATTCTTTGACGCGTCATTATTTTGACTCATCTTATCAATTTAGTAGCTTCTCCATACAAATAATATTTAAAATAAACTTTTGGAATGTGTAGTTTACGTTAATGTGAGAAAGATCAGTACTTTCCAATGGTAAATGTACAATGGTAGTACTGAAATTATTAATATAAGTCATTTGAGAGATATTACATCCAAACAAACAATTACAGGTAGAATTTAAAATCAACATACCTTCACAAATTCAGAAACATTAAAGACGACACAACCAACTACATGATGTCTTTGCTTCTGTTTGATAATAAAGAAATTGGAATGTTTACTAAATGTTCAATTTTAATCACCTGCTGTTTTTATTGTAACATATTGAATTCTGTTCATACCCAATTGACTATGTAATGCAAATTTTTTATTTTAGCTATGACTGAAGTAAACACAAAGAAGTATTGACTTGGAAGCTTTATACCAATAAACTTTTCACAGTTTACTATTATTTATTTCAATTAATGAACATCCTGACTTACATGCAAACTAACTAAAATATTCATAAAGGAAGACGGGGCAGCCAGCCTTTTACAAGTAAAATAGCTCAAAAATTAAAGATTTATAATTTATGAAGTTAAGAAAATCGATAAACCGAGCTTCTTTGAAATTGTCAGCATTCCAACTTTGAAACGTGGTCAATGAAGTTTTGTCATTTTGTAAACTTTTGATACAGATAAACAAATAACTTGATCAGGGGCGTGAGAGGCAAGTAAAAATGGGGGCTCAGGATTTTAGGGGCAGTTTTTAGTTAAAAAGGGAATTTCAGAGTAATTAATCTCGAAGTCTCAAACTTTGAATAATTTTATCTCATCTAAGTAATCCGAGATACTTCAAAACTGATAGCAGTTGGACTTGACAGTTCATCATGCAAAGTTTTGTCATTTTGTGAACTTTTGACGCAAACAAATATTTTAAATAGTCTATCTTACAACAAGTTTAACAATCATAGACCAGAAAAAAATCACGTGTACTATTAAGAGAAGAAGTGAGCTTTTCACTCCAAGTAGGCGCATTTTCTAAAGACATGCCTAGAAAAACGTTTTTATGTCATCATCTGTGTTAGGAATAAGATAAATAGATAGATGAATATATGAATGAGGAGAAAATTCTACTTGATAAAGCCATGTTAGATAAAATTAAAATTATTGCACATAATGATATGCATTACTGAAATTTTGTGACGTGTCATAATTTTTATTTTTCTTGTTGATTTTTTAGCCCTGCCTTACCAATGATATTTGAAAAGAATAATGAAATTAATTGTTGGTGATAATGCAAGAAAGGTCAGTATTTTGAAATGATAAATTATCCAATGTGTTATTGGAAAAATCCTACCAAAATCAACAGATGTATCAACTTATAACATATGAAGTGCAAATTACACCACGAAAATGACATTCAGGTTTTTTATGACCAATATAACAAATTCTGGACATAAGAACAAACAATGACATTATGATAGGTAAACTTTATAATCAACATAACTTCACAAATTCAAAAAGATTAAAGAAGACGCAACCAACTACATGATGTCTTTGCTTTTGCTTGAGAATAAAGAAATTGGAATGTTCACTAAATTTTCAATATTAATCACCTGCTGTTTTTATTGTAAAATATTAAATTCTGTTCATAGCAGCGATACGATAGAATGGGATGTGCAAATTTTATATTTTTTTGCTATAACTGAAGTTCACCCACGGTACTCGGGTAAATTGAATAATTTGAGTCACTTCTTGATAAAACCTAAACACAGTCCACCTACAAACATCCCAACTTACATGAAAGCTAACATAAATAACCATAAAGGAACAAGAAGCATCCAACCAAATAATATATGATATTATTATTCACCATGTGAGCATTCTTGGCTGTGATTGGTCAACTGCCTGCAGATAATTCTCGACATCTGTATGTTATGACGTCATAACCCACAGATAATAATTTCCACAAGTATGGCCGCCATTAAAAACTGGGTTTGAAAACAAATCAAACATCATCGATATTTGCCACAGTTTCTAATAACGATGTGAAAGCTATTAAAGGAAAAGGATGCAGAAACACTAAAAAAGCGGCGACGCTGTCTTTGAACACATTTACAACATATTTAAACCAGGGGCGGATCTAGAGTATGTCAAATCCGTCGCGCGACTGATGTTTGAAATTCAAAAATTACATATTCATATTAATTAAAAATTCATTAATTATTCTTACTTTATTATCGTATTTACTTCGTGATAAAAATCCAGCTTTAGTTATTATTGAAAACTACTGACTAATCCAATAAATATCTCGTTGGTAACCAGATCAGTTGAATTTTAACTGACCTGGAATAACTGACTGATAAGCGGGTGGCTTGACTAGTTCAACTGATAAAGGAGTCTATGAACGCCAAAAACGCTTATTTTATTGTTCAATGGTCAGATCTGTGGACAGTCTGGAATGGTCTCGACCGATAAGAGGGGTGGCCGGACGTATAAGGGAGTCCAATTGCTATCTTACAATTGGTTCATTTGAATTTTTGTTTTATTGTGATTGGTTTGACGGATTTCGACTGATAGCCAACTGAACTAACATAGTCAAGCCACTGTTCGAATTGAATGTTTGATCGTTTCATAGTAATTTTTATAAGCATGATAGAAACTAAACTACAATCAGATCAGGGGCGGATCTAGAGTATGTCAAATCTTCCGCGCGACTGATGTTTGAAATTCAAAAATTACCTAAAACCATGACCAGCCGACAATTTAAAGAAGTATAATATAAAACAACTTCCGAAGAAACAAGACATCTTGAGATTGCAAAATATGAATCAAAACAAGACGAGAAGTAAACTGTAAATTTTCGACTTTATTTCAAAGTCATCCTCAGACAGAATGATATTTAAAACCAAACATACACATATATATTTACAACGCATGAAATAAGTAAACGGAAATAAGCAATAGAAATTAAATAGTGTGATATTTACAATGAGTTGGAAGAGGTGTAGTATTACAAAAGGATGAATTGAAACTGCCGACCCGACTGGTAGAATGAGTGTGTTATAAATTAAGAAAAGAGTTGTATTCTTTGCTAGCCTTAAGTCCCGTGTTTAGAAAAGGTTTGTTATGTTTAATGAGTAGTGCTTCAAGAAAAGCAAGAATGTGGTAGTTGTTAGATTTGGTTGAGTGAAGTATTTATAGTTGTTGAATACAAGGTTTTCTATAGGAGAGGGAGTTCTGGGAGGTGGAGTGAGATCATTGAGTTGTGAGAACTGGTTTTGTAGAGTCGCCAAGAATTGAGCGTTTTCGCACTCAGAGAAATGCTGGCCAACTGAACTAGAAGAGAGTCTGGTTGCATGTTCTCTGAGCCGTACAGACAGGCATCTTTGTGTCATGCCGATGTAGGTTTTACCACAGCCAGGGCAAGTTATTTCGTATATAAGATTACTGCGAGAAAGTGAAGGAAGTTTGTCCTTGTTAGAGACAAAATAGGACAGTTTTTTAGTGTCATAAATAGTAATAAATTTCACCGGTTGAGAAAGATGTTTTTGTATTTTCTTAAAACAGGATTTTAAGAGGAAATCGCCACGCATGCCAAGATAAGGAATACGAACCCAGATTTTAGGTAGATTATCATCTATAGAAGAGCGGTTGTCAATGGAAATAGAATCATTGTATTTGGATTTTAGCTTTTTAAACAAAAAGTTTTTAACGCTGTTAGGATAACCGTTCCAAGACATGTAAGATTTGATTATTTCAATTTGATTGTTGAAAAGTGCTTTATTGCTACAAATTTTGAAGGCACGGTGGTAAAGAGATTTTACCCATGCAATTTTACCATGAAAAGGTTCGAAGCTAGAGAAGTGTGAGTACTGACCAGTGTGGGTGTCTTTTCGGTAAATGTCAGTTCCGTCAACTGAAATTTTTATATGTAGAAAGTGAATTATGCCATCGTGAAATGTATCAACTGTGGATGTGAGATTGGCATCAAAACTATTAAATTTCGATAAGACAGCGGAAATATTGGAGGGTTTAATCAAAACAAGCGTGTCATCAACGTAACGGTTGTAGAATTTTATTGTGCCATCATTAATGAGATCGGAAACTATTAATTTTTCAAATTCGGTTAAAATTATATTAGCAAGGACAGGTCCTAATGAGGAACCCATAGAAACGCCGTCTTTTTGGGTGTAAATGGTGTTATTAAAAGAAAAGGCAGTTTTGTTGCAGCAATCTAATATGAGTTTTTTTAATGTAGACTTTTTTAAAGTTGTTGAAATTATGTGTTCATCGTAAATGCGGTCTAAAATGATTTTGACTGTGCGAGACAATGGAACGTTGGTAAAAAGGGATTCAACGTCGAATGAAACAAATTGATAGCCTTCAGCGAACAGATGTTTAGGAATGTTATTAATATTAGTTACGGCGTCAAAAGAGTCAGAAAGGGAAAAGGAATTTAGAGTGAGAGGATATAGAAGGGAAGATAAACATTTGCCAACGCTGTAGTGAGTCAAGAGAGTCAAATTGTTCGTCAGTAATTTCACCACGTTTGTTAAGTTTACGAAGGTAGTTTTGAAGAGAATGAAGTCTGGTTAGTGTCGGGTCGTGATTTAATTTCTTAAACTTAGAGGGGTTAGAGAAGAGGGATTCAACAGAAGATATATAATCAGAGCGGTTTATAAGTACAATGCCATTTCCCTTGTCAGGCTTGAGAATGGCAAATGTTTCGGTTAATTTGTGCAGAATATTTCTCTTCATGCGCCCTAACTTAAATTCTTTTAGGTCTAAATCAATATAATTGTATGTAAAAGAACGAAGTGAGTTTTTAACCTTATCTTCAACATATCGTCCTTCCTTAAAAGAATCCAGTCTTGAAATTTGTCTCCAGACGTCTTCAGCAATAGCCATGATTTCAAGTTGGTTCGGTCGAGTGGGAAGACCATATCTGAGTCGTAGTTTCAGCACATCTAGTTCATCAGAAGAGAGTGAGTGATTTGTCGGGTTCACTATCGTTTCATTAGGGTTTGCGGTGATGCCATCAGTTGTTCGTTTAAGAGAGATTAAGACAGATAGCTTTTTTTGATGTCTGGAAGCGATTTTGGTTTTCTCAGATGAGAGCAAACGGTTGATGGAAAAGCATATGAGTTTGTATTTCATCCACGTGGTGCGTTGAGATAGTTGATGTTTAAGATCAGTGGTTTCTGTGGTAAGTTTAGAAAGTGTTGTCTTTTTGTCGTGTTGTCTTTTTTCTAAACTTACCACAGA